TTTGATTAATATCGATTATAATTTTACTAACAAAGCCTTATTTCAAGTCAGTCCGTGTATTACGTGATGAAGCGTACACAGGGGGTTTAAGTCCATTTTTCTCATGATGCATCCTAAGTGATCGTGGATATTTACTCCGTATAGCCACTTAAGAATGTGTTTGTTGGCCGGCTTCTGCAGACCTAGATCATACAGATCAGTGCTCTGGGTCTATTGTCAAGATGCAGGATGAGGATTTCTGATTTTGTGTGTATCTGTGAGAAACCTGTACGATTTTACGGCTACTTTTGTCCCGTCTGACCGTAAGGGGCATTTTACATAGATTTGCAGGTCACAAAGTGGTCGTGATGTAATGATGTAACCCATGGAACCGCAGTTCATAGACTACGTTACGCAAGGAGCTAGTCACGGCCTCCAGTCGCCTTTCCAAAGTTGCTGCGTAGGCAATTGAGCTCAAATCGTGCGTCATAATTCTAGCACACATACACATCACGGGCCTTGTACATGACGATGTGGCTCCCTAGTATGCTATACGCACATCAGAAACTGCACTTCTGCTTAATCTTTTACAAACCAAGGTCACCATTTTCCCTCAATTTTTTTCGAGATGTTTGCCCTGAAGTTGCTCCTGCTTGTACGTTGGACGTTTTTGTTCACCGTCGAGCCAGTAAAGCACCCTACAGCTTTCCGACCGTATCCCTACCGAGCCCTCACCTTTTTTCCCTTTTGTTCAATTGTAGTTTGCTGCGTGTCTACCTCGAAAATGATATCTCAACGTGTCGGGCACTGGTAGGCCCTCTTTCAACCATTTCCCATACTGGTTCTTTAGCCTTCAAAAGTTGCAGGGTATGCGCCACTTCCCTGTAAGTCTTAGCTTCTTCCCTGCTCTAACCTTGCACTTTTTCATCAGCTAATTCCCATCTCCCGAATGATGAGCCAAGAATGTGGCATCACTAACATTCAAGACGAGGAGGACTACCAGAAACGTGTGCTGGAGAACGTGAAACCCGTGATTGTTGACTTCCATGCTTCATGGTATGTATTATGTGACTGTGTGAAGAAGTATATGGGATCGCTTACTAACTTGCTACACTCCCAGGTGTGCTCCATGCAAACTACTTGGCCCTCGACTAGATAAGGTGATGGAGAAGTACATGGACAAGGTGTTGCTGGCTAAGGTCGACATTGATAAGCTTGAGACCGTATCAATGAACAATGGGGTGAGTTGTGCGGGAAGCGTGTTGAATTTCGTGTTTAGCGTAGATACTTGCGAATCTGGTACCAGTTTTCTTCTACGAGCACGCTCTATCCCTACGTATATCTTTTTATGCTTTTGTACGAAGATCTGGTGTTTAATTGTTCCTCGAAGTTACATTATTACAGCCTAACATGCATTTTGATGTCGGAATGTATTTTAGCGTAATGAGTTCCCGAAAGGCAGGTACTGCTAGAGAATGTGATTTGGTCATTTTCGCTGCAGACTAAGTGGTTCGGGGCGCATTCTACTGGAAGTACCTCCCCTTTATTTGCTGCATATTCGAAAAATGTGTGCAGTTTCATGCTCATGGTTAGGTGCGTTCGACTGCCTCATTTCCCCCGCCTGAGCTAGTGACACGCCCCGACGCAAGGTTTAGTTCTGTGGTATTGGTGGGTGATATGGGGGAAGTCAATAGTTACCTGATATTCTGCACCCTAACTCGCTTTCGGAATCATGAACCTTCGTAAAACTGGAAAATAACCGCCGACACCATTGTCTGTCTTGGCCTCACTCTGCGCCATTTCTATCTTGCCTTAGTTACCCAGTGAAGCCTCAATTCTAGGACGGGAAATCCCGAAATTTGAAACTAGATCCACCTGGTTATTGGAATTAACCTCCCAACATCGAGCAACACTCTCGCACTTCAGCTGCGATCCAGAATACTCATAGTAACTTAAGTGACGCGCAACGATCTGGTTCGATTTCAGAACGAAAAGCCACTTTCTGCCCTGCAATGCAAACAGCTCAGTGGACGCTATCCACATAACCTTTTTTTCCAGAACGATTCCTTACCTTCTGATTTATTTCTATAACCCAGTCCGCCGCTCCATACCGGACTTTCACACAGCAGTGTTTTGGCTGATACGACCGAGCTGTCAGTTGTACATTTTTAAGCCCGTTTACTTGCCCTGTCCGGTTTCTGGAAATTACATCGAAATCTGACGCGAAACTATCTTTTTTCGGATAAAACTCGAATTCTCACTTGCCGACGGAGCTGGATCATAGTTGAACATTCGTGGAGTTTGTTAGGTAAGACAAAACGTGGGAATTTATAATCCACTGCAGAAGCCTGTCCCGTTATTTGCGTTGTCATCTGAAATCTTGACAGCAGTAAGATGAGCTCCGTAAGTTTTTTCGACACAAATTTAACCGGCCAGAAAACAAGACTAGATCATCTTATGATTTGGTTCACTTATCGCCCTCGCCACAACCCATGCCGTGGGTAGACAACCCGTTCCTCGACTGTAAAGACTTTATCCAGTACCACTGCTTACATCTCTTTTTGACTTCTCTCCGCTTGCGGCTGCATCCGATCACAGTTTTAGGCCCGTACCCCATGTCCAGTGCAAGGATTATTAGTGACTAGTTGGTGCTCGCTACGACTCGATTTTTGAAAGCTTTCCAGTTCATTGCTTGCGCTCCAGAACAAATTAAGTGGAGGTGACTACGTCCAACACACGCCATAACTTTCATTTCCGGCTTATTACGCATATATCAGGGTAAGTAAAGAGCCGTATCAAAAATATTGCAGCCTCTTAGGGTGCCAATGGCAGACCGAGGCAGCTGCCGTTTCTTAACTTACCCAGGCCCTCTTCAGTCAGACACGCCGCCGTGTACCTGCGACTGAAAAAGCCGATGTGCATACGCATGACAGTTCGACCGTCTTGCGCGTGAATTAGTCTGTAGTGATTGTAGACTTGCACAGTATCTACCGCACTCTCCTCCCCCACCTGGGCCCGGTGTCAAAACAAACTTAGGGAGACCGGGGGGCGGGAGGAGCCTCAGGTGGCCGCTGCGCGAAGAACCCGCGCCTGGGCGTACCATCACACCCCTGGTCCACAACTGACACTGGGGGGGGGGGGGGGGGG